TTTAGCGGAAATATTGGCCTTCATGTTCGCTGAGGCGTATGTGTTATATGAACTCATCCACAAACATACACCCATACATACGTACACATTTTAATGGAAATTAATAACACTTATACGACGACTATCCCTTTTGGAATACCGAGAACACCAATCAAGTTGCTTCAGTTGAAATGTTCGCCAGGTTAATCTAAATGAAATAGCACTCAATAAATTAGGTATGTAGCTTCGATATTCGTACGAAATGACGTCATTGTAAAAGGGATCCTATGTGGAATAAATTAATGGATGTGAAATGTGTATTGTTAACATTTATCATCATATTTGGCAAGGACGTAGTGTGTGATGATAGTTTGGTAATTTGGGCCAAGGATATATTATTCTGAGTATTGAACTTAAAATTAGAGGCAGATGTTCAATATGGCAGCACAAATAAGATTTTGTAATTAAAATTCTCTTGTAAAGAGTATTAAAACAAAAACTTATTACAAATCGGATTATTAAGGTATTCTTTCAAAACGGCCATGATGTTCGAAGCAGGAAACTGTTATTTAAAAAAAAACAAATAAGTCGACAAATAAATTAATGTTCTTATGTTACTACAGAAAAAACTACTTCTTTGTCGACTTATTTGCGAAGAAGAAATTGATAGATAAGTGACATGCAATTTCTTAAATAATACCTTAATTGTCCGATTTGTATTGAGGATTTTCTTGAGGCTTTATCTCTACATGATGAACAATATCTTTACAAACCCATAAGACGTAGACAGCAGATTTTATTTTAATTTTATAAAATGCATCGGGTAAGAATTGCGTAGTGACACCGATTAAAAAAAGGATAAAGTCAGGCGTGGACGACCCATGCCAATATGCATATGTACCAGAGCTTTCCGTAATATATGTACATTTATATTCGGAATTCATACAAAGTGAATTATCCCTGTTGATCTTTGATACCGAATGGAACTAATATGTAAGAGCTATATTAATCTGAATAGATTTCCTGCATTAAAGTAGAGTTAAAGTTTATAATCGGAGCTTGTCATATGATGCGAAATTAAACAAACGTCGCATAGTTTTATACCGAAACAGAGGGATATGTGTATGTGAGCTTTATTAATATCTGAATTGATTTCGAAACAAATTAGGCAAAGGTATTTCTAACAAGTAAACAAAGGCTATGGTAGTGCTGGGCCGACCATGTGATACCCTAAAACATTAAAATGTGTTGCAATCTCCCTAAGATAAAAATCCATATTGGCAACAATTACAAGTAAAAATCACCCTCCACCATTTTGAAGGAAAGTGAAAATTTCAAAAAAAAAAAAAAAAATAAATAAAATAAAATAAAAATCTGTGAAAAAATACCTCTTAAATACCCTAATGGGGGCTATACGAATGCGTGGTTCTTGATAAGTAATTTTTTTTGTCATGTGCTGTAGTACCGATTCCGAACTTCAAATATCAAATTTGAAACCATTTCGGTGAATAAAGCCGCTAAAACCACAAAAATACTGAACATCGGGAGGTATTGTTACATGGGGGCTATACGAAGACGTGGACCTACATAGAGTATTTTCATTCATAGGCTGTAGAACCAATTGCGAACTGTAAATACAAAATTTGAAGTAATTCCGGTAAATAATGTCGCTTATGTAATAAAAAAAAAACGAATATCGGGAGGCACCATTATATATGGGTTATACGAAGACGTGGACCAGCACAGACAATTTTCTATCTTAAGCTATAGCATTCATTACGAACCAAATTTGAAACATTTCCGGTGAATAATTTCGCTAAAATCATCAAAATACCGAATATCAGGAGGTACCGTTATATTGGAGTTTTACGAAGACCAGAAGCAGGTCCACGCACAGACAATTTTCTGTCACAGACTGTAGTACCCATTACGAACTTCAAAAATATAAAATTTGAAATAATTCCGGTGAATAATGTGGCTGAGATTGTCAAAATATCGAAAATAGGGATGTACAGTTATATGGGGGCTATACCAAAACGTGGGCCTATAAAGCTGATTTTCAATTTGAGAGTCCCGCAGACCAAACACACATTTGAGTAACATTTTATCAATCTACTTCAATTCGTTTAGAAGCTTGAGTGATTTCCACAGACGGACTGATGGACATCGCTATATCGACATAGAATTTTTGTGCTGAACAAGAATATATAGTTTGTGGGATCTAACATGTCTATTTTGTGGTTTTACAAACGGAGTGACTAACTTAATATACCCTCTTTTCCATGGTGGAGGGTATAAAAATATGTAACAAAAAATATTCCCTTCTTTTTGGAATATTTTCGGCGATTTTCGTAGATTTTATCTTTTTTTGGCAAGAGGCCATTTTAGAGCATCCGCCCAGCGGTTCTTGACTTTTAAGCGAAATTACTAAGATCTATTTCTTTTACCAATAGATTTTTTGGTATATATCAGATATCTTGGCTATCATCTTCAATATAATGGTCCAAAGCGACCCTTAGTTGTTTCTCGTTTCGCCGGGATTAAAATTTATCGCAGTTTAATGGGAATTGTCGTATTTATTTACACAAAGATAGGGTCTATTTTCCCAGTAAATATTATTCGATGACCATCCAACTCTGCCCAGTGCTTATCCCTAAATCCATGTAAAATTTCGTGTCGATTGGTCTATAATTGTGGCCTGTAGAGGAACTGGAAAATCAGAAAATTTTCTATTTTTAGTCCATTTCAACCCCTAAATGTTTTGCGATCATCTCCTAAAACAATAGGCTACTTTTCTGACCCTAACACCAGCTCCATTTTGAATTTCGAAGATCGGACCACAATTGCTATTGCTAATTGCTCGGCAAGACAGGAAAATCCATATGTAACATCCTATGTGCCGGACAAATATTTCGACATGTTAAATAAATTGTATAAAAACCCCAACACATGGTGTTGTAGGGTATAAAAATAGTATACCTTACTGTATGTTGAAATTGTTCTATATAAACAAGAGAACCCATTACCAAATGCGGATTTTATAAATTCCCTTCGAATATCGAGAAGTACCTTCATATGTTTATCTATTCAAACAATATTGTATCACATGAACAATATTGTATATTCTAGTTTTCCGTTAGAAAATGTGGCTGACATCGGCAAAGTTTCGAATATCGGGAGGTAGAATTATGTGGAGGCTATACGAAATAGTGGTTCTATATAGACAAAATTCTGCCGCAGTAGGTAGATCCCATTATAAATGCTTAATTTAAATTTAATTTAATTTAAAGCTTTTTTGTTCCGTGGCTATATCGACATGCAGATTCAAAATATAGAGACCAAGAATGAAGTCCACGGTTTGAGGAAACAAGTGGTAGACACAACACCCGAATTGGCAACAAGCGGATGGAAGGCAAACAGCGATATGGCAATTGAGGTTTCATTGATATCACACGTGAAAATTTATATAAATATATGGATATTGGGTGAGGGTATACATATGTCGGTAAAACCGACTGATATTTTTTTCAACTTGTTTTTATTTCTGTACAATTTTGATAGCTTCCATATGATGGAAGAATGGCATGCCATGCCGAACAATCAATATATTTTTAATATTTTTATACCCTCCACCATACTATGGAGGGTATATTAATTTTGTCATTCCGTTTGTAACTCCTCGAAACATTCATGTCAGACCCAACAAAGTATATATATTCTTGATCAGCGTAAAATTCTAAGACGATTTAGCCATGTCCGTCTGTCTGTTTGTCTGTCTGTCTCTCTGTCTGTCTGTTGTAATCACGCTATCTTTCGAACAAATTGAGATAGAAGGCTAAAATTTTGCACACATGTATATTTTCCCAGTAGGCAGGTTAAGTTCGTAAATGGGCCATGTAGGTCCAAGTTATTATATAGCCCTCATATAACGGTACCTCCCTATATTCGATATTTTGATGATTTTAGCGACATTATTCACCGGAATTATTTCAATTTTGGTATTTGAAGTTCGTAATAGATACTACAGCCTAAGACAGAAAATGATCTGTGCAGGTACACGTCTTCATATAGCCCCCATATAACGGTACCCCCGATATTCGGTATTTTAATGATTTTAGCGACATTATTTACAGGGATTGTTTCAAATTTCGCATGTGAAGTTCGTAATGGATACTTCAGCCCATGCCAGAAAATTGTCTGTGCAGGTCCACGTCTTCGTATAGCCCCCATATAACGGTACCCCCCATGTTCGGTATTTTGACGATTTTAGCTACGTTATAAACAGATTTTTCTTCAAGTTTCGCATTTAAATATTGTAATAATTTACGACAAAAGTTGCCTATGCAGGCCCACGTCGTCGTATAAGCATTCGGTATTTTTAAGATTTTAACAGAATTTTTAACGGTTTTTTTTTTTTTTTGGAAATTGCCAAATTTGTACCAAATGGTGGAGGGTATTAAAAGTTCGGCCCGGCTGAACTTACAGCTTTTTTACTTGTTCTTAAGTTTTATACTGTTGCATAAATTTTAAAAATTTTGAATTTTGTTCGTACAATGTTTAATTCGCCAGCGAAGCTTCAATTAATCCGGATGTAGTCGAAAAGGGTACAAGAAAGCGGTTGTGTAAAGCCACTGGCTCCATATTAAGTTTTCCCCGGCAGCCTACAGATACTCACTTCACTTTCCGTACTCGAACTGTCCAGATACGCGCTGTTCGTCCGGAATTTAAGATTCTGTCTATCTCATATTTTTTAGAATGCGTGTTGGATTCAAGGGAAATGAGTATCATCCAAAACGACAACATCTTCCAACAGGTGATGTCCTTTATTTTCGGCTCTGTCACAGCAATCCTTAATTTTCGGCTAAAGTATGTGTCACAGCTAAAATTCATTTTTTTTTTTAAATAAATCGCTTCCAAATAAATATCTGAAGGTAATATGTCCATGATCCTGAGAAAATCAACAAAAAAATCCTTTTATAATATTAAATGGTTAACAATTTTTTATTCTCTTTTATTTTCAGTGGTCCCGAGATGTTGGTGGCTTTTCATTCCAGTCCATTTTCGGCACCGCTGCAGCAGGGCATACCAAATCGTGGATTTGAGCTCGATGTGGATATACTTTTTACAGATTCCGATTCATATGATTTCGCTCAGGGATCGAAAAATCAATGCGAATTTCATATAAATGCTACAAATCCAGGTAAGTCACTACAAATAAAAAAAATCATAAAAATTAAAATTTCATCAAAATTAATTTTAAGTGAAAATCTTGACTTTCTCCCCAAAACCATCTTCGTGGTCATGGCAACTGTTAGCCACACCAAAATTTAGAAAAAAAATAATAATTTTATCTAATGTTGTTCTCTTACTTGTCTTTTTTCTATGGTTTTTCTCGTACAAATTGTTCCTTGGGCGCAACGTTGTTTCATTCGTTCAATGACACTTGAAATCTGGCTAAGTGCAGTCATGAAGTAGCCAGCCAGGTATTGGGGAATAAAGTCATGATCAAAAAAAAAAAAAAAAAAAAAAACAACGAATCTACCTACTCACTACCTCCGAACAAAGTTTAATCATCGTTTTTATAGCCGTTAGCACGAAAAACGAGATTTTAATTAAATCTTACAATGATGGTGATTTTCTTAGCTGTTGGTTTTTAACTTTTACGGTGTTCGTCTTTTCTATTTCTTGGCGATTTGCTTTTAATTCGCCTCGCCAACCATGATTCGTGATTTTTTCGTGTAAATACAGCCAAAGCTACTGGCCCATGACGTCGGCAGGTTAGTGTATGCCGAGTTGAGTGGATTTGGTTTTTTCTCGTTTTTTTTTTTTTTTTTTTTTTTTGCGAACAAACTAAGTTAATTTATAGAAACGAAATCCACTAACGTTCGGCACTGCCGAGTCATTTTGTTCGGGCAGTATTGCTTATGTTCCTTGGTGGGGATAGAAAAAATGTTCAAAAATTACTCCTGTTTCCAATATTGCAAATGCTTCTAAGAAACTGCTTCAAGTAAATTGGCGCTGCAGGAACCACTCCAGCCACATAAGGCAGGAGAGAGATATAGAGAGAGGGAGAGATAGAGTGTGTCTTAGTGGATGCACAATTGCCTGTTTTAATTATGGAAGTGGTTAAATGTTAACTTGTCTCTACCTCAAACTTCTTGTCCAGAAAGCTAGGCGTTGTTGTTTTTTTCTTCCCTTTTTTTGTAATTTTGGTTTGAGATGCATTTAATTAAATTATTAATTAGGTTTATATTTAACTGACAGGCGTTTTTTTTTTTGCAGCAAGGAAGTGAGATATTAAAAAGTTAATATCGCCGCAGTGAGGACAAATACATCATGACGTTGTTAAAATTACCAAGATTTTTTTTGTGTGGCGCCCAATAGGAAGAAGTTTTGAAGGTGCGTCTTATGAATACAGAAGTTGATTACAATATGGGTATATTAAAAGAAACGGCAATTGCCCGGCGTTTGATGGACTAAATGGAAAAGTAGTAGACCAAAACCAATTATAATTTCGTTTAGCCTCAGGTGGTATTAAAATTAATATTAACTTTTTTAAATATTTCTGAAGACAAAGTCTTGAACGTGATTTATTAACTTCGTCATCGGACTACATAGCTATAATACATATGTATATGTGTATGTTGTTTACAGACTTTCTTTTATAACATTGTGCAACAAAATTTAATTTTCCATAATTCCAGGAAAAATACAGGAAGTTATGGAAGAGAAACTAAAAATAAAAGACGCATGTATAGGCGTTTTGAAGTTTACATCGCTAAAAAAATTACTACGCTACAACACTTTTAAAAAATTTCGGTTTTAGATTCCTCAAAATTCGGGCATTTTATTATATAGTGTATAGTGTATAGTTAGCAACATTGTAGATAAAAATAAGAAGATTATTCTGGTTACAAATTGTAACCCTCAAGCTATTCAACAAAGGTGTCTTGTTGGTAGTTTTTCAAAAATTCTACAAAATTTGGTTGTCATAAAATTCCAAAATAGGTCCTGGTAGTCGTCAGGAGGGTAAATTCAAGCGGGCCAAACTTTCAACACTCTCCAACATTTGGAAGGAACTTGAAAATTTAAAAAAAAAAATCCGTCGAAATGTACCGCCTAAATGTAAATCGTTACATATGGGCTATACGAAGACATGGATCGGTATAAATAATTTTTATTTTATCAAAGGTTGAAGTACCGATTCCACGCTTCAAATACGAAATTTGAAACAATTCCGGCGAATAGTGCAGCCAATATCATCGAAATACCTTTATATGTGGGCTATACGAAGACATGGACCTGTATAGGTAATTTTCTGCAACAGTTTATAGTACTCATTACGAGCTTCAAACACACTATTGGAAACAATTCCGGTATATGATGTCGCTAAAATCATCGAAATACCGAATATTGGGTACTACCCTTATATGGGGGCAAGAAAAACGTGGTGCGACATGGCCCATTTACGTACTGGCAAAATACACTTGTGTGCAAATTTTTAGACTTCTTTATCTTTTCTCAATTCGTTCGAATTATAACGTGATTACAACAGATAAACAGACAGGCAGACAGAGAGACAGAAGGACTTCGCCAAATCGACTTAGAATTGTACGCTGATCGAGAAAGTTTATACTTTGTGGGGTATAACACCATAGAATGGTGGAGGGTACAGAAACAACGGAAATGGCTAAATCGACATAGCATTTTATGCTAATTAGGAATACATACATACTTTCTGAAAATTAAGAAATGACCTCCTAATTTCGGTATTTGTGAGGCCTACACCAAATAATGGAACCAAGTTGACAATTTTTATGCAGATTCTATCTGCTTAGAAAGAAAATGTAAAATTACACGTGCTTTGGGCTGAAATTGTGACAAAATATCAAAAATCCGAAAATATCGTTATATGGGAGTCATGCTAAAAGGTGGGATTGTATGTTCCATTTTCAATATCAAACATCTAAGAAGTAATGTATTAATGCCCAATGTATTAATGTGTATTATATTAATGTACAACCAAAAGACCATAAATCTAGCTTATCACTTTAATTTTATCCAACTACATCATTTCGTTCGGAAGCTAAAGCGATTTCAACAAACGGACGGAAATAGCTAAATCGATATAGAATGCTATGCTAACCAAAAAAAATATATAGTTGTGGTGTCTTAAATTTATATTTCGCCGTGTTACAAACGGAATCCCAAACGTAGTATACCCTCCATTCTATGGTGGAGGTTATAAAACAAACATTTTTATTTTTCGACAAATGTAGCACTTTCTTAGAATTCGCCGCAAATTTCCATATAATTTCACTGTACAATGTCCAGTCTGTGTTGCGGAAAACTTCTAGTAGTAATCGGATTGAAATTCAAGACCCCAAAAGAGTTTCGAGTTCTTAGGTTTAAAAATGGACCATATCAGTCCCTCTTTATTATAAGTTCCATGTAAGCGCTTCAATTTATTTGTATACCCTCCATCCTTAAATATTCTTCTTAGACCCTATAAAGTATATATATTCATAATCAGCATAAAATTCTAAGTTGATTTAACGATGTCCTCCAGCTTGTCTGACGTAGAGCTTCAAAATTTGGCAGAACAATTTGTATTTTATCTAGGATGGTTGGTCCCCGTGTTAGTATAGCCGCCATATAACGGCACTCCCGATATTCCGTATTTTGAAGATTTCAAGGGTTTGTCTAAAAAATGTATATATTATATAAATTTATATAATATATTCAAATATTTATATCTCTAGCTCCTGTGGCTAAACATTGTATATATAGGTCCACGTTTCTTATAGCCCCCATATAACGGTACCTCCCGATATTCGGTATTTTGATGATTTTTGCCACAGTTTTTCAGGGATTTGTCTAAAAATTGATATTTGTAGTTCTTAATGGGTTCTAGCTCCGGTGACGGAACAGTTTTTTTTTTTTTTTTTGTCAAATTTGGCATTTAAGAATCATAATACATAAAAATCCTTGTAGTATAAAGTTGTCAATATGGGTGCCCTTTTTGGTATTGTCCCATATAACAGACTTACTCTTTTTATGTTTTTATACCCTCCACCATACATAGTATGGTCATTCCGTTTGTAACTCATCGAAATAATCATTTTAGACCCAACAAAATCTATATATTCTTGATCAGCGTAAAATTCTAAGACGATTTAGCCCTGTCCGTCCGTCTGTTGTAATCACGCTACAGTCTAAATGAATTAAGATAGGAAGGCAAAATTTTGCACAGATCTCTCTTTTGTCTGTAAGCAGGTCTAGTTCGAAGATGGGCTATATCGGTCCACGATATCGTATAGCCCCCATATAACGGTACCCCCCGATATTCGGTATTTTGATGATTTTACCCACATTTTTCAACGGAATATTCTGAAAATCCACACAAGGAGTTCCTTGTGGGTAATTTATACCTCGGAAGAGAATTATCTATATAAGTCGACGATATCGTATAGCCCCCATATAACGGTACCCCCCGATATTCGGTATTTTAATGATTTTACCCATACGTTATAACAGAATTGTCTGAAAATCCACACAAGGAGTTCCTTGAGGGTATTTTATACCTCGGAAGAAAATTATCTATATAGGTCGACGATATCGTATAGCCCCCATATAACGTCCCCGATATTCAGTATTTTGATGATTTTTCAATGGAGTTGTCTGAAATTCCACACAAGGAGTCCCTTATCAATATTTCACCCCCTGAAAGAGAATTGTTTATATATGTCCACGATATCGTATAGCCCCCATATAACGGTACCCCCCGATATTCGTTATTTTGATGATTTTAGCAACACTTTTTAACAGAATGGTCTGAAATTCTACACAAGGAGTTATTTGTGAGCACTTTACCCCCTGAAAGAGAATTGTCTATATGGGTCCACGATATCGTATATCCCCCATATAACGGTACCCCCCGATATTCGGTAGTTTGATGATTTTTGCCACTTTTTCCAATGAAATTATCTGAAAATCCACGCAAGGAGTTCCTTGTGAGTACTTTATCCCTTAAAAGATAATTATCTATATAGGTCCACGATATCATATAGCCCCCTATAACGGTACCCCCATATTCGGTATTTAATAATTTTAGCCACATTTTTCAACGAAATTCTACTAGTATTTATAGTTTAAAGTGGAATACGCTTGAATTTAGATACTTCTGTATAATTTTTTTGC